TTTTTTTTACTTTGTCAGATTAATCTTACTTTGCCTGTTTTTCTTGTTGTTTGCTTTCTTTGCTCAGTTTGAATAACTGGTTTTGCAGGTTGAAGACAACATTCCTGATTCAGAACTTCCTGCAGCAGATGCCCCATGTTCTACCACAACCAAAGGCAAGAAGAAAGGCAATCCCAAGACAGCTAATACACCTGGGACAGCCAAGAGGAGGAAGAATAAGGTTAAACAACAGGAAGAACAAGAGAATACTGACAGGTACAAAATTTGAGTGTGATGACTAGTGTTCAAGATAGATTTAAGCAGTTTTGCTGCAGTATTTCAATCTTTTCACAGCAGTGTCAAACTGTTACATGCCCTGCCCCAGTCAGTGTTAGATCTTAATACGTGTGTTTCATTTATTTATTTATTTTTTTTTTTTCAAAGTTTTGTCGTTTTACTTCATATTGCCATGCAGGGAGGAGAGGATGCTCAATTTATAAAATCATTTACTAAGAGAAAAAAATTGTTTCCAGTGACACAGAAAACACAGTAGAAGCAAGTGTGTTTGCTTCTCCGTCTCCTACCCTCAAACCTATCAGAAGACGGGTTCCAAGAAAGGCATCAGTCAAGAAGATAGTGAACTTTAGTGACTGTTTATCCGAAAGTGAAAGTGAAAATGAAACTGCTGCAAAAGGAAGAACAAGGTAAATGAAGATAAGAAAATTAAAACCTTGCCAAGTGTTACTAGAGGACATATTTGGATATCACATTTATTTTAAATATTCTTGAAAATAAAACTTCATGCAGATGTTTGAAGTATTTTTGAATACAAAACTTCATGTAAATGTTACATCAAGCCACGTGTTTCTCATTATTTTAGATCTTCAAGAAACCAAGCTTTGAGTGACATAGAAAACACAGTTTCATAGGGGAATGCAACCTAATCTCGGGAGTCATCACAGTTTTCAAGAACTTGAGAGACTTCATAAAAATGGCTTTAAAACGTTTTGCATTATACATCTGTATTATGAGGGATGAGAAATTGATTTTTGTTGAAGTAATTACATAGCTAAAATTTACTACACACCTTACATAATTAGCAAAGACAGTCATTCAAATTTGGTACTGATGAAGTAAAAAAGCCTTTAAAATTGTTAAGTATCACAATTGTCAATTTTAAAGCTTTTTATTACTGCAAATAATGTGGTGGAGTTTCTGTAAAAAAGAACTTATTAGATCTGAATTTTGGAACAACTGAGTGCAGTTAAAAGTGTGTCCTCCTGGAACTCTGAACAAAATGCATTTTTTTTTTATAAATGTAGCCTGAAACCAATGTTTAACATTGAATAAAATCTTAGATGATTGCATTTTGTATATGCTTTTAGTTAAGAAATTTTAATATGCATGGTGTTTTAAGTGTATAGTGTGTAAAAAGGACAATGTTGAAATTATCTATCCACTCATAGAACCTCCATTACTAGAGTTCAACCCCCTTAAAATAATTGACTCTTAGTCTAGATCCATAAGTATGTTACATTATATTTATCACATCATTTGACTTCCTGATAAACTGTGAACAAATTAACACTTGGGCATTTTTAATTGTTTTCAATGTTTGAAAGAACACTTTGAAACCATCTGTTAAACTATAACATACTCAAAACAAAAGCAGATAATTTTGCTACAAAACAGGTTGTATTTACAAGCTTTTTTACTGTGCACAAATGTGCCACTATGTAAACTGGAATATACAAACTATACACAATATACAATCTATGTTATACAAATCTACAGTATTGTCCACATATTCAACTTGATGACAACTGATCATCAATAACAATCACAATTAAGAACTTAATCTTTCTGCTCTTTCATCTGTTATGTCATCTTTTACCACAAAACAAAACCTTATAACATGTTTTTTGGTCATTTTCACATTTTTCTATCAAATAACTGTCAATAAATAACACCAGATGTGGTGTAGTTCTTACCATTAGGTTTTATCGGTTTTTGTCAAGAAAATTAACCACTCTTAAATGATACTTTTACCAATCTTGCAAACAAATCACCAAAAAGCTGTCACTTAATCACTTGTCAGAGATGTAATATTCATTGTATAAGCATTAATTATTTACTTAGATCATATCTATTGTATACAACTTCCAATAATCTTTTTTTTTAGGCATTAGTAAATATTATCTAAAATCTGTTATCTTGCTCTTGAATACTTTATATTGGTATGAAAGGTCACAATTCATACAGCTCTACCATACTAGGATCATGACAACTGATTTAAGGTACAAAACATTAACTGATGTCCAGTATGAATCAAAACTGTGCCAGACTCCTTTTTTACTATCTTCTGATTTCATCTTTTCCCCATCCTTTGCCTGCAACTGATGTTTTTGTCCAGAACTTCTGAACTAGTCATGCCCTACGGCACCTACAAAAGTAAAAGTATGTGTGAGACAGAAATAGTCACTATCCAAGGTGAATAACACGTATAATGAGTAAAAGAATTATATTGCAGGAAGTAAACCCAAAACCACCCCACAACACTCAGGTGAAATCAGCTGACAGTAGAAGGCACACAAGATATGCAAAACAACCACAAGAAATACCAGTAAATAAAATGAAAATTAGAGACAATACTCATTGGTAGCAATTATATGGAAACTGACTCATAGAGAAGCATAAAAACTTAATCAGTCTAAGGATAAAGCAGTAAAATCTTGAGAGTCTACAGTCCTGGTTTTCTTTGCAACAGCACATTTTTCTCCAGAGGCCTCTTGTAGTTTTGAACTGCTATTTACTTGAAGGTCATACTTTTTAATCACCTCTTTAAAGGGGCAACTATCAGTGCTACCATCACTTTCACAGAAATCTTTAGATGGAGATATATTGATATTTATAGTCATTCTGTTTACCTCAGCTTTCATTTCAGATGGCAGCAGCCTCTGCTCTAGTTCACCATAGCGCGTGTCTCCAATCTCAAGTTCCGGGACATACGGCTCCTTCTTCAGTTCAGCAGAGTAGTTTGGTAGCAGCTTGGAATAGGTGTACTTCTCCATAGGATAGAGTTGTTTTTTCTTGCGTTCACGTGTACTGTGGCGTGTTGAAACTTTATTTTTGGACTGATCACCTTCAGCAGCCAGTTGATCAAGATGCTGGATCTTGAACTTTAAAGCACGGACAATGGAACTGTCCTCTTTTTCTTGATGTTTTCCCCCTGGAGTCTCAGTCTGGTTTTCAAAGTACCTTTTACGTTTGGTGTAGTTCTCCCATTTTTGTTCTTCCTCCGTTGTTGGATTAACACTGCGCATCTCCAATTTCTGGGTCACTGTGGCTTGGACTATCATGTCTGGATCATTGGGATCATGAAAATGTTGCTTGAACAGTCTCACAGTGAAAAACTCGCAACATGTGGTGCACTGAACACACTGGGAGTTCTTCATTTTATACAGGTGAAGGTAAAGGTCCCCATCCTGAGAGCGCCCTCTCTGGTCATCTCTATGAACCGCATCCCTATGGACAACCTCTAAGGGTTTCTGCTTCTCCATGGCCACTGTACATGGCTTCACCTCCCCATCACAAGCTATGACACGCTGGACCTCACAGCTTTCACCCACAGAGGTGTCATCCAGAGTTTCAATTTCCATTCGATCCTCAGGGTAGAAGGAGTAACAGTGATCAAGTTTTTGCTTTTGGGAGTCATGCTGAGGAGAGTGGCTAAACTTTTTGTTTCTTGGAGACTGTCGTTTAGCATTGTGTAAATTCTTCATCTTTTCCTTTTCAATTCGGTGCCTTTCCTTCACCTCAACTGCTTTTAATTTCATGGCTTTTAGTTTCAATTTCTGGAGGTCTCTTGTTGCTTTTACAAGCTTCATTTTCTCTAATTCAGCCTTTCTGGGGCGTCCTCTTGGAGGGGTGATGGGCACTATACCATCCGGCAACATGGCTGGGGTTTTCATTTTTTTATCATTTTCATCTTGGTTATTTAGTGAAGAGCCTGAACTTTTTAATGCAATTCTCCCCCTGCCAAACCCTTTTTTAGATCTCTTCTTTCCTCTGAGTTTTACCTTAAGTGCTGTGTCTTGAGGTGTTGGTGGTAGAATAAACTTTTGAAATTCTGAACAAAATCCAGTGGTGTCTCCTTTAGAATCCAAAGATGCTTTACAATCTGTTGTTTGATCTCCCACAGGTGTATTTGTGCCTGTCAAACTACTAGGATCAATACCACTTTGGTCCATAGCAGGAGGCTCAAAACCACATTTTTCAGTTTCTTCATGATCACTGGAGTCGGATGCACAACTGCCTTGTACCAGCTGGTCATATCTAACACGTTTTCCACGTCTTGGACGTTCTAACCTGTTAGAGGGACAAGGCTCCTCTCTTTTTCTCTGCTTTTTGGGCTTGGTAATGTCAGTGGGTACTTTCTGGTTAGAGTCAGTAACTGCATCATTTTCCTCTGCTCCAGGATCACTATTCTTATCACCAGGTATACTGAAATGGAAAAAATATATGAAAATTTTAAGTTTTTGTAACGAAAAAAAATTGTTGATGTTATTTACCAACCACAGACTAAAACTGTCACTGTAAACTCCATGTGCCTGAAACTTTTCACTGTTGTAACAAAGCACTCCTGGTTCATACTGGTACGTGCCAAAATAACTGATATTCTCTGCTTGAAAAAATACACACTTCTTAAAAGAATTATCTACTTGTTACGTAAATTGGAAAGCAATCAGATATCTACCAGGGCAGCTCAATAATAATATTCATTAATTATTTAACAGGTCACTCAAAATTTAATCAATTTCAAGTTAGCCCATTTCTAGCTTATCCTGAAAGTTTTATCTAAATCTGCCCACAACTTAATTAGTTAGGCAGTTAACAAGCAAAGCAATAAAGGCAAAAACATGAATACCTAGATTTTGGTACTTCTGCAATAAGCACATCATCTCCCTGCAGTTTGAAGTGGATTTTCTGTTTCTTGGCAGGCCCAGCACCCAGCGAGGAGTTTCTCTTCCTTGGCACAACATCTTTCATTTCCTTATCACTCTGTCCACCCTGTTCTGAACTACTGGGCATAGAGACCTCCTAAAGAAATGACATGAATACAAACATGTTGATTACTTTAAAGATATAGTGGGTGCTCATCATTTATTTTTGACACAGGTACCAATATTATTTTATTTCTATTTGAGATTAATTTGGTTATTCTTTTTATCAAGAGCATTTGCTTTTGCATCTAGTAACTTTCTATAAAACAGAGAACCATGTTTACTTTTGTAGTTCATTTACAGCAGCGTAAAACAATGTCACCAGAATTATTTTTTAAGAACCACAAAACCACAAGGAAAAACATCCGGTGTTCAGAGTTTGCAGTCTGTTAATCCAACCAACATTTATCTGCTCTTCCCAAAGAAGTCCTTGAACATACCCCTAATGCTTTTAGTTAAGTTTCTGGATGACCTTACCTCATCCACTTTAGTATCATTGTCAAGTTTCTCATCCCTGGATGATCGATGTATTTTGGGCTGTGGGTTGACATAGAAACCAATCAGTTCTTCTGCTGTTGTCTTGGAAACTATAACGGTGCTCTTTGAAGGGGAAGCCCTGGCATATCGTATCAGGAAATCCCTCTGCATATCTGAACAATTCTTAATGGCAAGACCCATGGTAACACAGCGCTTCTTTAACAAACCAGTATCCTTGGCTGGCAAAGCCTGCTTGTGGATATCTACCAACCTGAAACCAAGCAGCAATTACCTCAACACACATCATTTCTATATTTACCCAGACAATCACTATACCACACCAAAACATGTTGAAATTTTTGTGCCAATTTCTACAAAGCACTTGAAATTAATGACAAGTTCATCAACAATGAACATACAGGGGTTCTGAAATAAGTCTTCTGAGGAATGAGGTTCCTCTGTAGAACATATCCAAGTTCTAAGCTCTTAAAAAGTGTGCATGAAATGTCTCACATAGACTATGAGCATACCTGACATGTGGCTCATTGTTGATCATGAGAGCAGGGAAGGTATTCCAATACATGGTCACAGTGGTCAGCTCGGGCACGCTACTGTCCAGGCTCGTCTCTGGGGCTGCATTCCCACTCATATCTGGGAACAGTTCCGTCTTGTCCAGCATGCCACTCCCGGCAGCACCAGCCAGTCCCATGTGGGCCTGGTCAAAGTTCAGAGCAGCCACAGTAGCACTCTGGGGTTGAGGACGTCTGATGGGGCTGCTCTCTGCTAGAGCACTGAGTAGTTTCTCTCCCAGTGGTGTACCAAGATTTGTTGAAGTAGGTACCTCACCTGCTGATGGTTTTACAGGGGATGCGTTGAGATCATTAAGCAACAAGTTCACGGTGTTCTGTGGTACACTAATGTACTCACTTGTTTGCACCTCTGCTAGGTCAAACAGCTGACCAGAGCTCCCTTGACTTAACACCCCTGTGACAGAACTGTCCACCAGGGATGTCTCCACTGAGGCTTGAAGTAGACCTGCAGAGGCCCCAGCAACAGGGTCAATTAGCACCTCTGCTGTGGAGGAAGTTGCTTTGTCTACTTCATCTTCGGTTTGGACAGAATCAAGCTTTTCAACGACAATTCCTGACAATGGTGCATCAATATAGGCAGGTTTCACCACGTTTGACCCCACTGGCAGTGCAGAAGTATCTACAACTGTATCAAGGATACTACTCAATGTCGGGTCAGTAGACATGAGAGCATCACTGTTCATATTGTTTAAGATTTCTTTGATTTCTTCAGCCGTTAAGCTTTTCAGAATTTCATCAATGTCCTGCTGCTGTTGTTGTTGTTGTTGTGGAATAGGTTGTGAGTGTGGCAACTTCTGCACAGGAGGAAAGCTTGCAGTTGTCACAGTCTCTGTGGTGATAAATGAGGTGTCCAAGGACGTATCAACATCTGATATAGGTATGCCTCCCTCGGACATCATATATAACTCATCCACTAACTCAAACACGTCCTCCTTTCTCCCTGGTGACAGTCCGCCAGAGTTGTTTTGTTGTGGAGGCAGGAGAGAATCAGTCATGGACTTTGGTGGGCTAGCTATAGCTGTAGAGGGCGCCACCTGCACTGTGCTACTAGTTGTGGCTGGTACCCACATTTTCCTGTAGAAGTCAACATCACCTGGGGCAATTTCATAAGCATTAGCATTCTGATTTTTATTCTTGTCCAGGTTGCGAGTTCGGCTTTTTATTTTCTTGGTTGCAAAATATATAAAGTGGTCCTGAAAGCTGCCACATATTTTAACCTTATTGTCAGCTTCTGCTTTTGCCTTGGCCTGTTTTGCAGCTTTTTCTTTGTTATTTTCCGTATCACTACTGTCAGATTTGCGAGGTTTCTTCCGTACATATTTCCTCTTTTTCCTCTCCCCTGAGCTGGCATCTTCAGGACTATCTTGAAGGACAGCATGGTCTGGACTGTGATCCTCTTTCTCCAATGGGCTAGCCTTTAAACAAACAAACCAAGAAATACTTAACTTTTATAACAGAGCAAATCCAAACAAACAGTAGAACTGATATATCAGTATTACATAATTTAAACTTTTTTATTACTATGGGCAAAATAGTTTCTAACCATATTACTAATTTACATAATGCATGCATTGCAAAAATATCTTGTACCTCACAGCCATCCTTCATCTTTTATTTTCAAAAGAACAAATATTTAAGTTACACATGAAGTCAAATCTTTTGCCACAAAACCTGAACATGATATAGTTTCAAAAGCATCACTTAAAGAAATACCAAAAGGCATCATCTCACATTTTTTTAAAAAAATAATATTGAACAGATATTTTCTATTTTCTTTCTGTGCTATATATAACCCTCATTTAAACATTTATTGCATGCACAGAATGCATCATAAATTACTTAGTCATTTGGTGAACATTTACAAACTGAAGGTGGATAAATAGGTCAGTTTCCAATGAGAAATATGAAAAGGTGAAAATTTACAGTTATTTTTGCTATATTTTGACATGTCAACTTTATTTAAGTTTTTTTAAGAGAAGTAGAAGTGGTTTATAAGAAAGTTTGTCAATTATTAACAACACCTTGATAAAGTTCACCTTTTGAATCACAAAAAGGATACTTATATGAACATCCTACCATCCACAGTTTAACTTGTCACAAGTTTGATCAGGAAAGAAAATTTAGGCGTCAAAAGCTATATAAATATTTGCAAGCTTGCTTAAAGGTTTAAGTGCCATTCCACACTTCTCTAGGTCTATACTTAACACAAAAGTTTATCAGCTAGGAAATGCTTACAGCCAGTCTTATCTGAATGGGTTACATGTCATGTGGAAATTCCACTATGTGTGCCAATCACCAAACAACTCTCTTCCCTGTGCAAACTTTCTTTTTTTTTATACAAGAAACTGAAAGCAATTTCCTTCGCACTAGGAGGTAATAAATTATACAGAAGTTGAATCTATATGCTAAGCTACACACTGATGAGCATTTATAAGAACATGCACCATTGTATAGAATTCAAACTACAGGTAATTCATCAGCTATTGTTATGAGCAGGATGTAAAACAAATGCCTGCCTGAGATAATTTTGACAGGTCAATTTTACTGCTTTAAGACAAACAGGGTGTGCAAAACCTTGACAGATTTAACAACAGCCTTACATGTAAATGTTCTAAGATTTTACTGCTTGTAATCAATATGCAGTGTAGATACTGAGGAAACCTGTGTACAACATGACTCATTTTAGCTGTGCTCACTACAGCATATAAAATTTTGCCTACTACAAAAGAGGAGGGTAGAAATTCCAGAGATTTTTGAAAAAATGTAAAATTTGCAGAGATTTTTGAAAAAACGTAAAATTTGCAATTATCAGAAATATCCTACAGACACACTACTTTATGGTTGTGTTAACTAGCTTTATTAGGTAAAGTTCATCTTCAGCAATAAAAGATAGAGAAAGAAAAGAGAAAAAGAGAGAGATTACATACCACTTCAGCAATGTCTTCCCCATCTAAACTTATGGCCAAGTCTTCCGTGGAGACCTCTGAGTGGACATCACTCTCTACTTCAGAGGCTTTAGACTTCCTTCCTTTCCTCCTCTCCCTGGGTTCTTTCTTTTCTTTCTTGGGTTTCTCTGGCAGGACACTATTGATAGCCACTTCATAGTAAGCATGCCAGCAATAGTCATGATCTAGCAGGGCATGGGAATGAAGCAATGCTTCCACAGGCATTTTAATATTCCTTTTGTCTTCACTTTTTGCTTTCCTTGGGACAGGGTAGCTCATGAAGGAAGCATATCTCTGTATTTTGCTGGGGGAGACCACCCCAGCTCCTGTAGCTGTGGACAATGGTAGAGCTTGACTAGTGTTACTGGACATGTGTTGGGAATATGCCTGCATTGAGGCAGCTGTTCCTGCTATACCAGCTTTGGTTAGGATTCCCTGAGGTGTAGTAGTAGTGGTGGTTGGGCCCAGCACACCACCAGCTGGGAGGATATGTGCTGTAGATGGAGTAGTTTTGGAGGCCTTGTGCAAAGCTGCACTGAACTGAGCCTGGGCATTGCTCAGTGCACCCAACCCTCCACTGAGAATGATCCCCCTCATAGGCTGGTGAGCTGAGGCTACAGGAGGGGTGGCCTGAGCCTGGGAAGTGAGAATGGGGGAAGAGCCCCGTGCCTGTATCCTAGTAATGGACGAGTTCACAGGTGTCACTGGTCTGGCAATAACCCCACTGGCATAACCTACAGATGTCACTGCTAAAGACTTAGAAATGCTACTTTCACCAAGGTCTGATTTTTCAACCCCAACTTCGGGTTTACTTTCATTTCCCAAGTCTGTCCTGGCAGAAGTGCTTGTTTGTACAGCTTCTCCTTTGTGAGTTTTATTATCATGCGTTATACTGGCTGCACTATGAGAGGAGCCGACTTCATCACCACATGCAGCTGAGGGCAATTTGTCACTGGTAATTAAATGTGAGGATCTACTTGATTTTATATCACTATCCTCCTTTTCTTTATCAGTTCTGTCACAAGAGACAGGATGTTCAACATCCTCGCCACCACTACCACACTGGTTAGTTCTCACATTAATTAGCTGACTTTCATCTGGCACAATACTGGGCAAATTAAAAGAAGCATCATCTTTTAGCAGATTACTTTTTTTACTGATGGATGAATCCAATGACTTTAAACCATCTTCGTGTGCATTATCCAGTGTTACTGCAGTAGATGGGCAAGATGAGCTTTTCATATTGTTCAGCTTAGTATGCATGCTATTGATCTGGCCCAAGGCAGAACTTACTGCTTTCTCCCCATCTGGCTGAGATTCTGTAGCTGAGGGGTTGGATGTTGAAGGTAACACCACCTTCTGGCCACAAGTGGTCGTCAGTCCATTATCACCACCAGCATCTGTCACTCTATTACCAAGTAACGACTGCCCTTGGCATAATTTATCAGGAAACACTGTAATTACTTTAGTACCTGCCTGAGCTGTTACTTTTCCTATATTTAGAGCTGCAGTTGAAATAGAAGTCTTACTAGACATTTGGATTGGACTAACAATCGGCCTTTGTTGGACTTTTGCACCCGCCTGTGTGACAGCCACTACTTTCTGCCCTTTGACTCCTACATTTCCCTGAGCCAAGGCCGACTTCACTGGGAGGTAAACCACCTTGTTACCGTTTGTGAAGGCCAAAGTTGTCTTTTGCTGCTGTGAAGCAGGCTTAGCTACTATGGTGGCCAGCTGATGTTTATGTTGTACACCAGGCAGTGGAGTTTTCACCATTTTCTGTCCATTAGAACTGGTAGTCACATACAGAGTTAGTGTACTGGGCTTAGCTGCCACTGTTACAGGAGAAGTCATTTCCACACTCGTTTCTGTCATCTCATGACTTTCAATTTTTGTTTCCTCTGGTGACCCAGGTTCCACACCAGAGTCGCTGTCTGGTGCCACTGTTGTATCACATCCCATTTCAGAGTCCGACTTGTCACTGCTGGGCCCCTTAGCTGATAATGAGTCCACAGAGTCCGATCCTTTGGCTATAACCACACTTTTCTGCTCTGATTGGTCTACTTCAGTCACACTACCATCACTATCAACTTCCCCTTTGTTAGTCCTTTCAGAAGTAGTAGTCTGACAATGGAATGCTCCACGTGTCAATGTATTGGGGCCTATCCCAGCTTGTGTTGCAGATACACATGAGTCATCTTCCAAATTAGACTGCTTGTCTGTATCCTGGTGATTAGTAGTCACATGCTCCACCTGTTTATTATTACTGTTGATATCACACACACTGATATCTAGGGCATTCCTCAAGGTTGGAAAATTCTGTGATACACTGGTTCCACTAGCACTGATGACCATTTTCTTTGTTTTAACCACAGTGTGTTTATGTTCAGGAGACTTCACATCTCCATTTGTTTTCTGCCATGTATTGTTATCCCATTTGCTTTCCTCGTCTGATGCACTGACCTCTCCGTTTGTGGTTTTGTTGAGGTTTTTAGTGACATCTACTGCAGCAGTCTTGATAGTCATGTCCTGTTGTGAATTGTTCACAATAGATGGCCTTGACTTTGCTTTCAATGTAGTGGAGTCTTTAGGGTCAGGACTGTTACTACTATCCTTGGCATCACAAAGCGTATGGCTCTTTAGGGCAGCAGCTGCAGCTAAGACATCCAGTGGATTGAACTCGTCCATTTCCTTTGTCTGGAAAGCAAAACAATACTAACTCATTGATAGGTCAAATCTCAAAACCTGTTATTTTGCAAAAAATTGCTGCTCAAAATATACACCTTTCCATCTTTTCAAGAATTTGGCTATAAATACTATATAGAGTGTAAACAAGAATACAAAATCCCTATTTATGTGCATTGAAAGTTGCACAATGGACTTATACAAAGGGCATTCCACTAGCATATAAACTGCTAACAACAAAGGCTTTACCAATATGCCTATATACGCATGATATATCCCACAGGTTAAAGCTATGCTATTGGCAAAGTGCCTGAATGAATTGCATACACACATTTTTATGTATTTACATAAGAATGAAATACGATCAGCTGCAGTTAGCAGTATAAAGTATCTAGGCTATTTCAAAACAAATATTATCTTGTAAATGAACCCCATGTTATTTTTTTTCTCTCACGAATGATCCACTTGGGTATAAAAATCTGGCTACATAATCTTTCAGTCTGAGATCCAATTCAATTCCGTAATGACTCTAAACCAGGCACTCCTACAAATTTAACTGCACATAGTGTGAACATGATGCAATGTTATCGTAGGCATGTATAATCAGATAAACACACCTGTTTCAATTTTGGTTTGGAGAGATTAACCAACAACCTTTCATTTGTATTTGTACTTATGTATTTCGAAATATCCATCACACAATAATAAACCTCCAGTCAATAATACTCAGCTGCTTAGATGCGACTTCCTGCACTATACATTTCCCACCTCATATAAATAGATGCCAGATGCTTTGACATGCACAGTACATGTCAGCTACAGACCTTTGCTTTTAAGTGATTAAATCTATGCACAAAGGTGGAGTGATAGAATGACAGATAGCATTGTAGGTTGACTTGCAAACCAGAAAATGTTTTCTTTTATAGACAGACTTATCTTACCTGAAAAAAAAAACTTAATACTGCATGGAAACAAGTATTATTAATCAAAATCCCCGAGATAAAATAATTGCCATGTACTGAATTGTGCTTTAACATTCAGTTTAAGAGGAAACTTGACCTTCCCAATGTACATGATATAAATCTTTTAAATGTGACATTATTTGCCTGCCCATAGTATCACTGCCTGGTTGGCTGGTTTATATACATGTTACTAAAATACTGGTCTATGGGAGACAGTAAGGTTAGATCTGCAGTTGACCGATGAATTTTCATAAGTAAAGTGAACTGAAAGAAGAGAGAGCAAAAGTTTCAGTCTAAACCTATTTTGCTCTTAAAAACAAACCTCAGTGAAAAATAAACAAGTGTAAATATAAACTTGGAAACATTATGCAGCCTTCACTTCATAAGCTGTTATTCTGGCAGGATGTGGTCTACACTTCCCAACCTTTGAGATTGTTCCAATGTCAGTGCAAAACGGCTCTATAACCAAGTCCACACTCATTATACATACCACACAATGCAAACATCCTGGTATGACTCAATTAAGGTTATCTGTAGTTATACAACCTTATAAGGAAGATCAATATTACTTGAATATAAAAAATATAAAACAGAACAACATTCAACAAGTTGAGAAAAGTTATAACAAAGAAAGCAGCCATTAAGCACACAGTGTGCACTTAAGTACCACAGAAAGCAAAACTTCATGGTATAACCTTCGTACATTTTAGATAAGCTTTGTCCAAAATGTGGGTCACCCGTTTCATTTGTATATAGGTGCCATAGTAATATCATGCATGTTTTCTTATAAACAAATAACAAACCAATTCATACACATAAAGGATACAAAGCTTGCAAACCACTCCTTTATGTATTGATTGTATGAATGTTACACCCAGTCTTCTATACAACTTGCAATATAGAGTCAACCTGCCTCTATATGTTACAAGAAATGATAATCAATATATATGGCTCTGCAACCATTATGTCACTGTCAATGTGTCATGCCACATACTTGTGTCTATAAATGCTGCACAGCATCCAACTTATGGCAGACAACAGTATTTTTGACAGCAGTACACAAACCAAACATTTTCAAATAATTAATGAGCATGCCAATAAATAGATAAATGTTATAAGGAACTTTAACAGTTTCCCCTTGGAGATTAATGGAAATAACAAAAAGTCTGCATTTAATTCTTTTTAACTGACTATAAACTGATTACCATTACCTGGTTTATGGATGAAGTACAAGAAAACATCTATTTCACAGTAATCTCTCTTTTAAAACGATGCATCCCCTGCAATATACATTAACAAGTTAATAGCATTAACTGCTGCATTTACAATCAATGCAGAGTTTGTATTATACTAACATTTACAGCATGCTTTGTGAATCATTTTCAAGATCCAATTTTCCTTGCTGATAATATTCAAATAGTGAACACAGCATATTACCTTATAGCATGCACCAAATAACTTCCCATCTTACTCAGATTCTGCAAATTCAGTGAAGACTGCTTCAGCTTGCCAATCAATATCTACTGTTAGTTCAGCCCTGAGCCTCGTCAACTACAGAAGACTTTTAACGAAAGAGGCAACCATTATTATATACAATGTGGACTAAATATATTTGCACTTAATGCAGGATGTAAATTGCAAATGGTTTAATAACTGTGTTTCCATGACAAACACTGCTATCAGCCAGCCTACTGTTACATATAGATGTGGGCCAATATAATGACTGCCATCACATATTAGTATGTATATATGGTGGTCTGGGATAAAATTGTTCCATCTTTTGTTTGGTAAATAAAATTTATAACTAAGAATTTCAAATCTGAAAAAGTACACATAATCATCAAAATAAAATGATCATCAATATTTTAGGAGAAAAAAATCTAAAATCACATAAGTATCCATCTTGACTTCGGTATTTACCTTTTAAACATCTAATTAGAATCCTATTAAAGTTGAAATAAAACTACCTGTTATACCACCAAACTGTGATGCAATTAGGAAACAAAAATGCCACACTTGTCAAGCCTCCAATCATATAATTTCCATGTCGTAACTGTAAAGGTGATTTTTGAAACCATGAGATATCAATCAGAAACAGGTTTATTGAGTAATCAGCACAGGGTGAAGGCAGGATAATAGCACTAGGTAATGGCCAGTTCAATCTTATCTTGTGATAAACAATTCTCTACAAGGTACCAGTTTAACTTTAACTGTCCAGTACTTAATGATCACTATGAAATCTGCATGGAAAATTCAACTGGTTTTCCAAATGATGGCGGATGTTTCATTCTTGTGATAAAGTTGCATTAATTCACAAGAGGTTCATTAAAAAAGGCATTAATCTCTAGGAAAAAGTCACATCTTATATACTCAAGCCAACTACAGTTAACTGCCATTTAATCAAGCCACAGTTAACTATCAGGGATACTAAATCTTTCTTTTGACAATACTATAAAGATATACCTAGCAAATATTTAACATATGGTGAAGATGTTTGCATTAAGAAATATGTAAGCTCTCTGCATTACTTATCTGTCTTCTGTTTATTAATATAACACCCCTTGTGTCAAAATTTCTATTTTTTCAATTTCAATTGGAGTTATTAATTTTGGCATTTTCAATAAAAAGTATGCTTCTTTAACGGGTCTATGGTATTGATTCATCAATTTAACCACAATCAACAACCTCATGTACAAAACTAGACAAAAAATCACCTTTAAAAGGAAAACATCAGGTCTCTTAAAAGAGAAAAGTTATCTGCACTTACACTATATTTAAGTGAATTATTCATTGCAATAATATGAACTAAAGTTTTATTATAAGGAGTGGTTTATCATAATTTGTAAGGGTTATGCATGTACCAGCCAATGCCTTGATTGCCTATACTCATGGATGCACTGCAGTAGACCCTTTGTAAGAGGAATACATGTGAAACTGTCATCAACAACTCGATCCCAATATCCAGCAAAAAGTGCATAGGTGTTGAAAAATAACATGCAAACCCACAGAAAATGGTGAGTGGGAATTCTGCTAGTAGTTTATTACATGGCCATCGGCAACTCATTCATTTATCACAGAAGGGATCCTTTATGCACATACCTTGACATATGAATAAATTTTAATTGCCTTTAAAACTGTGAAATTTTCACTTAAAAGAGTAGCCTTACTCCACAAATCCATCACAGTACATGAACTGTTATCGAGTCTGGTCAATCTGAGGCAAAAGGAATGCACACAAGCACCCCCCCCCCCCAAAAAAAANCCCCCCCCCCCCCCAAAAAAAAAAAAAAAAAAACAATTATATAACTCATCTGGGGACATAATAAAAATTCATATAATAAATACAAATAACATGTCAAACTCAGAAAATAACTGATTAATATTCACATAAGAAAAGTTTTACACTACCTGCAAAGTCATTAATTTAAGCTTTTAAGAAACAATATCTTAACTTGTACAGTTAAAGGGGTAACAACTGTTCGTATGATATATTCCATATTTCACTAAAAATACATTGTAAACAACTGGTAGAAATATAATAAAATCTATTTTACCACCAAAACAGTGGTTAACGCAATTTATTCTAGAATTTGTGCTTGTCATCACATCATATCATACTATCCCATAGATGACTACACTATGTAATAATCTCTTAAGAGAATATTACAAAAAACCAAACTTTTTAGAAAAAAACAGGGGTTAACTTTGAATGTTGGAATGGATTAATTAACTATTGCTTCATATGGGGAAATTATCCATTGTCCCAGGTAAATCCATTTTTTTTTTTACAAAATGAATAGTTGTTTTCCCATTAAACAAACATCAATGCAAATATCCAATAATGATACGTACTTTGCATATGTACAATGTAAGTTTGCAATATTGAATAATATTGTTATTATCAATCATAATAATTCATGTGTACAAAAGGGAGGGCTTCCAATGAACGCAAACTGACACACAAGCATTTTACTTAACAATACATCCCGGTTCAGGATATCCTAAGATTTAACTGTGAATTAAAACAAACCTGCATGCACGACACATGCACCCCACACGCACAGGCACGTTTGACCTACTTTTTGACCAATCTTCTAACATTACTAGTAATATTTACATATTTTAATTTCAAAGAGTCACCATTACATCGCATAAAAACCTACCTTATATTTCTATTTCTTATTGTTACGATGCATTATCAGTCACAAACGTTGCAATATTATGAGAACATTGCAGACGGATTATATTTTTACCCGCTGGAATGTCCGCCATCTTTCAACGTCATGTGACCCGCGAATGCCTCGTTGTGAAACAAATTAATGGGTTTCTTTGTTGGGATATTTTTAAAGTTTTGTGAAATATTTAGAAAAAATATTAAATGTCATGGCTGTCCTGGTGACAATACTCATTGCTTTCAATATTTCTGTCAATTAATTGCCTTCATTTGCATTCAGAAAGTATATCAAAATAGAAAAAGTCTTTCGACCCAATCAATCGCAGTCATGTGATTGAACAAAATGGCGGCGGATTCCGAGTGATGTACGCACAGGAACTCTTATATTACCAATGTTGGATGGCGTTTTTCAAATAACAAACGTTTATAACATTTCACAAAAAGTCATGTAAATATCGTATTTTGAATTAAGCATGTCAAGTCGGCGAAAGAAGGTGGTATCAATTAGCGAGAGTGCAAATCTGATACCAATAACCGAAGTGTTAGGGAAGTTTTATGAGGCAGAGGAACATAAATGGAGGAGCCTGGACATTGCAAATGCTGAGAATGGACAAGACAGCAAAGAAAACAACCCGAACATTGAAGTTGGGAATGTTTTGTTAAGGTATTAGCTATGTTTATTAATTTTTTGTTGTTGTTGTTGTTTGTTTATATGTTATCGAACTTTTTTGTCGGAAAACGAAAATGAAAACAACACAATCAGAAATTCCAAAAAGCTTATCACTGTCAGTGACTCTTGAGAACAACTGCTATGCGTCTGATATGAGAATTCTTTCTATCTTATGCTGTCTGGTATTTACAGCGAGTGGAAATGTCTTTTGGGAATTTTCATTCAAAGTGATTTAAATAAGGTAGAGCTACTGAGGACCGGTATTTTTTAAACATTGCTCCATTAGTAGTATTATTTATATATCTTAGAAGTATTGATGCATACAAAATATATTATTTATTTTGATGTTATTGGACTAGAAAGGAATGAAAGCAGTATATTTATGTTTGATAAGGTGACTGAAAAATAAGCAGGCATCTGTGACTGGTTTCTCATGCCTAGATCTATCCATCTAGATCAGTCTAACGCCCTGGGAGTTAGGGAGGGAGATAGGTCAGTCCTAATATCTGTGGGAATGGTTTCTCTAAAGTGTTAGGCAAAGTTTTAAACCTTATACTGCCTTAAATTTCAAACTTCCAAAGAGAGTAGTAGCATTTGCTATATTTAAAATTTATTTTGACAATTACTTTTGGCACAATCAAATTAAAGAATGTACATAGTTCATTTTTTTCTGTTAATACAATTATAGCCTAGAAAGAATAATAACAGTAATATACAATGACAATACAGAATTACAGCCTGATTTAAATGCAAAGCTTAACTAAGTTCAAAAGTGATTTTTGAACACACAAATTTATTATGGTGTTTTGTGAGAGAAAAGGAGCTAGACAGCTGCAATATTTAGCCAAGATGAGTGAAAGGCAAAGGAGTGGTTTGATTTATGGCTTCTGGCTTGAATGTTAAATGATACGAAAAAAATATTCACACACTTTTCAGACTGAAAAAAAAAGTAGATGAAAATTTTAGGTGTATGTTTGCTTTTTTATGAAGGAACATTTTTATTAGGACAAAAATCTTAAAAACAGTGTAGGAATTTTAATCAGGTTTTAAAAAGCCAATGTGGTCAATGAATACAGTTATCAAAAGTAATGTTGCCATAGAAGTATTTCATTTCATGTAATGCTTTTATTTCTTTGCGCTAATGCACTATATGTTATGATATCTGTATTTGACCATTAATAGTTAAAGCTATCTTAGTTTCAAGTCTTTTGTCTTCTCCAATTACAGGCACTGCAGAGCACTGAAAAACATCCAGAGATACTTTATCAATCTTGAGTAAGTAATCTGTTTTGACACAATAATAAACAGGTAGGTCAATCATGTGTCTTTGATTATGTGCACGTGCATCAACTCATGGATGGACTCCTCTTATCACATGCAGGGCACTTATTAAAACCCCTGGCGTGAGTTATTTATCATATATGAGTTAATAGATAACCATGATCTCAAGCTTGTCACTGGAGGCAAATTTATTGTTCACAAGCCAGAAGTTGTTTTGGTTAACTTGTATTTGAAGAATTATGAACATACAATAAAATATAATTTAGAAATATATAGTGTTATACGTAGTTATCTTTCTTGTTTGTATTGATGAAGATTCCTTACTGCTTTTTGAAGTATGTTTACTTGTTTACAGAGCAAGGAAATGTTGCCTACATTTGACACCAGCTCAACCCACTACATTTAGCAATATCAGACTAGTAAGCAGCTCTAAATTGAAAACTGTGTAACAGTGTTAACGGTTTGTTTAATAAAGCTTCAAAGAAATTGTGTGGCACAATGTTTTAATCATCGTCTGCATATATATTTTTGAAAAAAACACTTAAAATTTGCTTGTTAAAAAATTCAGACTGCAGATGTTTTGCCAGTGTTTATCTTTGAATTAAGAGTTCAGTGTTACATGCATCCATTCTGATATTTGCAGGTGAGAAGTGATACTGCTGATGTATCAGTGTCAGAGAGTCCACCTCCAGTTGGTAAATAATTACATTATGTTTTATTATTTAATGTAGCTTTTAAAACTTAATACATACATACTTAATATATAAAGTTTTAATTAATATGATTTTTAATGTTTTGTCTGTCTAAACTAACAATATGTTTTTGTGTTATTATTTTAGAGTCCATAGCGGGAAGGGTGAAAATAATTACATCTAATTCTAAACTGAATGAAAAGGTTAGTTTTTATGAATGTTTGGTATCCTTTGGTTTATATGCTTTTTATTTTTGTTTACCCAGTTCTGAGCAGGAAGTATGTGCTTCTCTATCATCCTGTTTGCATAAGATTAAAATCTAAATATCATATCTGTAATCTGACTGACAGTAGCTGCTTCCTCAGACAAAATCATGACCTTTATGTGCTAATCTGTAAAATTGTTAATCTATTTGTGGCACATTTCAGTGCCAGATATGAAGGTTATCATTAATCAAAACTGGTGATAAAGCTATATTAAAGGAATATTACATTAATATTTATCATTTGTCACATGTGTTATACCTTGTGGATTATTCTTGAGTTAATTCTTATATTATCTTACTGAAAATACTAATTAGACCGCATAATTTTATCAAAATATAATAACTAGATAAAAAATAAGGAACACTGGGGGATATGTTTTGAATGCACTTTGATGTTGTTTTCAGAAATGAAATGATCATTTTTATATATAACTTGTTCACAGGCTGAATAGATTTAAATTCTGACTTGTAACTTTCTACAGAAAATGCACTCTAAAAAAATGACAAGGCACATTGTAACATTTTTTTTTTTAAATTTATATTTCAGGATTTCACTGTGTACAAACATGCTATTCTGTGTGCCCATTTTCCTCAGTTGTGTGCACCGGACCCACCCTCCTCGCCCACTCCAACCCCTAACCCTTCCACCAGTTCAGATACAACACCCGCCAAGCTTTATAGCTATGAGAACTCCACCGAGGGCTCCATACATTACCGATCCCTCAGAGCCATCAGTCCTACAGGGTTCTCCTTTGAACAGCAAGATGAAGCTGCCTCATTGGTCCAGCCTGACGGAATGTGTGAATTACTGAGACAAGCCTTTGGACTGGCTAAAGACAGAGCAATGCAATATAATAAGAAAGTATATGACAGTTATGGAAGGAAACCACCTGCAAAGGTAGATATATTGGGTATTTGTTAAGTTATCATTGTTTTTATGCAAGTCTTCAGCAGTTGCAGTATCAGGTGCAGGTATTTCTGCAAGAGATTCCTTGAAAGAAATGCCCTGATCTGTACACATTGATAACTTGTTGATTATCTATGAAATCTAATAAAGATTTAATTACCTCCTGATATTGCCTCTTACAAATAAACATTTGGACTCAATAACATTCCTATGGTGATCAGTTACAATTGTGATCGCCAGTCTCAGTCCCAGTTATTAAAGTTGGTTAGTCACTGATTTTATCTTTGTCTTGCACTTGACATCTACCAGCTACAGGAATATGTATTCTCAGACTTCTGAAATATAAGATAGCCATCTGTTAGACTCCCACCAAATGCACTTTCTCTGCTTTAGATTTCAAACAGGGTGTTGTAATTGGGGTCAAGCTTTGGTATGAATTAAGATGCAACTTGTTAAAAATGTTCTTATTTGACTTATATTAATGGTTTAGAAAGTCTTCCAATTTTGATTTTAGAATATATAATTATCATATGGATAAAGACTGTGGCATTATAGCAGAAGGGTATTAATTAGATAAATATGAAATGCCTAATTCCAGCATCACATATTTGAGCTAACATTTTTGTATATAATGCCACATGGCTTTTTAAAACATATTTAAAAACATATCTTTTTCTGTTGCATAACATAAAGTTGTATTAAGTGAAAGAGGGTGGGTAGTTTTTAAGAGATTAAAATTCAAATATTGTTATTATTTGCTTGATATATCATATTTACCAGAATAACCTCTCTATTTACATGTATATCTCTTTTCAGATCTTAGTTGAAGAGTTGGTTGGCCAGCTGTCAGTGCTAGAAAATAACAAACATCCCTTTTACAATCCTCACAACTTTTTGGTGAGTTCCAATTTACTCATTCATACTTAAGAAACTTCACAGTTTATTTGCTTTTAGAAAAAGTGAAAAGTAGAGAATATTTTCTATAAAATATTTCGCTACTTATTTACAATATCACAGAGCACTTTTTTCACATTTTTATGAATTGAAAATTTTAAGGGCATGCTAATTGAATATTTTAAAATATGTTTATGTTTTCACTAATTGTGGAACTTTTTAAATTTCCCCAGACAAGGAATGCCTATGACAAATGGCAGCAGCAGCAAAGACTTGTCATCACTGAATTGATCAATAAGTTCTGGCACTTCTCGCTTCCCCCTCTCAGCAGTGGTCAAACGGTAGATCTCTCACGAGTCCATGAAGAATATGAGTATCTCATGAGGAGACTAATCAGGTAAATATTCATGAATTCCTAAAGGTTATCTGATGACAAGGCTAGCCATTTAATTCTTAATTTGTCCATTAAAGAACATTATTCTGGTAATAGCTAACCATGACAAAGTTAATGAGCAAATGAATTATGAGAAGACAAACCAGTAAAGGGTAGAAAAAATCAGGTCTGGACACTCCTTGAGATGAAAACTATCCAGACTATCATAATTTTAATATTAAAAAATGTAATTCAGTTAGGTCAGATGTTAATATCTAAAAAATAAACAATCTAATCCATTATATCTTATCAAGGTCTTGTTGTTATTTGTAAGAGCACTATTTTTCTCTTTAGTTTTGAGACTTGTATGAAGCAGCAGAATGCTGGAACTCCGCAGTATGCACGCTGTGTTCCCTACTCTGCCACTTCTGCCAGGATACTCACAGAGTTTGGGCTCAGATATGGTGTGGTGTGTATTCTTTCTTTGTTGTCATGATACTTGTTCTAAGGGGGGGGGGGGGGGGGGGTATCATACACTTGGTCACCCTTTACTTCAGCTAAGGAAAAAGAAAATATTATAATATATGTTTTTGATTTGACATTACTTATATGAAATGATAGTTAATTGGCTTAAACAATACATTTGTTGAAGTATCAGTGAATACTAATTTATAATACACTGACATTTTGAGATTATGCATTTCTGATAACAGTCTTTTACACTTGAACAGTACCCATTACTTATTTTTAGGGGGAGTTATACAGAAGGATAGTGTACTTGCAGTATTTAGCAGAGAATTTGGAGAGTGAGCCTTGGTTTGTGGAGCACACTACCTGTGTTCTCTGCAATATCCGTGACATGCTGCCACAAAATAGAGGAAGGGTCATCATGGTGAAGCAAGAGGTGAATACTTTTTGACATTATCAATTTTTATTAGGTTTGGTGTTGACTTTTTGACAGTCTCAATTGATTCAATTTATTAAAATTTTATCTGTATAGAGTACACTTTCAAATATTTTATTTTTATTTATTTATTTATTTATTTATTTATTTATTTATTTATTTATTTATTTGCTTCTGTGTCTCATGTTGCCTGTTACTCTCCTGTTTTAAGATCTTCTCTGTTATATGTTAGTTAAGTAACATTTAAAGAGGTTTTAAATAACATAATAAAGTAATGGTAAATGCTCTTACAGTTTGAGAAGCTTCAAACAGCAATTATCCAGCTACATGGACAGTGTGGCAACTTCCTGACAAAAATGAAAAGATTGTTTCCTGAAAATAAACCACAGAGTGGAGTAGGTCAGTTATAAGTTCATTTTGTAATTTGTTATCAACTTGAAAACCAACTTTGCAGTATGTTCAAAGATAACATTTGAGCCTCAGCTTTATTCTCTACTTACTGAAAATTTTTTTTCTTGTTTTGTTTTCTGAAATACGGAGCATATTTTGTACTTATAGCTTTTAATTCACACTACACAAATAATTCTTTGAAATTGTGCCTCTGTAATTTCAAATCAGGCACCATCATTGAGCTGTTGGATAACATCCTGAAGATGAAGGTCTATCTGTCTGGCAAGAAGCAGTCCTCTGTTGGTGACTGGCTGCAGCAGTATGCTGAGGTACAGTGATATTTATACACTTCTGTAGCATTTATTATAGCAATGCAGTAGTGAAATATAAATGCTGTTAATAATCTGACAAAAACTTTGATTTTCTGTAATTCTTTATTGTCAAAATTGTAACAAAAAGCAGTCCCTTCTTTTAGCTTTTTATACTATTTGTCTTGTTCTTTGTACTGAGCATGACTGCTTATCATTTAAATTTTGGCCATAAGAGATTATTATATTATTTATTTTTGATAATCACACTGTATTTTTTAACTCATTATTGTAAGAAGCACTTCTCAGTTGTGATATATTTTCAACTTGCTCATTCAGGAAAGCTTTTTGGTTGCATATGAGAGACACAAAACCATAGCTTCCACTGACCTCAAGATGAACACTGTGCTGGAACCACTATCTGCAAAACTGGTAAGTGAGTTTACCTAAGACGGACTTTTTTCTTTTCATTAGCAACAAAGAACAGTGATCGTGATCATTGGTGGCAGAAACTTAAATGGGGATTTTTCCATGACATTAGCACTTTTTAAAAATATTTGTACTGGTCTCACCAAGTTTAGTTTCTTAAAAAAGAGGGACTATAGAATCCCCCTTCGAAGTTCTGATTATATGCACAAATGGTATTTATCTATCACCTAGTTCATTTATTGTTTCATAATTAGTTATACTTGGTTGTGTTGATCTCCAATATTTGTAGATAATAAAAATAGGCGCTAAGAAATTCAATTTTAAGTACAATTTGCTTTAATATTGTTCACTTTTAAAAAGTTGCAATCTTTATAAATTTACGTAAGAGAAATACATTATTACCCTTAAGTATTTCTTTTTTTACTCTGTCTGTTTTGTTTGTTTTCAGCTTAATGTCATTATGTTGAACATCAGGGATGAATTGATTGATTACCGAACAAATTATCAAGCTACATTTGAAGAGTAAGTATGAAATGATGGATCCCAATATATGGGTTTATTCAACTTGCTCATGTTATCTTCAAAACCTTTTATGAGAAAAAAGTAGTATTAGTTTTACCTATGAAACTAACGAAAATTAAGTTTTGATTCTTAGACTAGTATTTGTGTTCATGAACTAAATGCAAAGAAATATGTAAGTCTGTGCATTTGTTCTTTTTCTAGTTATTTCAACATCAGCCAAATTGCAGCAGTTTCCTTTTATGAAAAATTGATGGAAGATGTTGAGGATCTATGTGATACCACACTGCAGCAAACGGTGAGAATTTTTTTGTCTTGGATTTTAACCCTTTGGCAATTTAGAATGTAAATAGATAAATCACTTTTATTTTATTTTCCTTTTATTTCTATATTTGAATTCTCAGTTTGGTTGTGCCATTTTTAATATGCTCAAACATTTTTGTTTTATTCTCCAGGCTGGAGACGAGGTAGACCTGCTGATGGTCAGCTTGGCGTATAGACTGTCACAACTTGACCAGGACTGGGCCTGCTTCATCAGACCAAAGTTAGTTGGTCTATTTAGTTGTATTTGTTAAGAAGACACACACACTTAATCAGTAATTGTTTAAGTTTTGCCTGTGTACTTTGTGCAACTTTGATAAGATGCAAGAATAATAAAAAGTTTATGTGCTGAATCTGTTTGGAACATTTAACATTTTTTTTTTATTTATCTATTATTATTTTTTTAAGGTTTCAGAGGTGGAGACATCCTTTTCTGCTTCAAGTTCTGCACTGGCTTTATGTCCTCAAGGAACACATGCAAACACTGGTGCTGGAATCTGTGGCCACAGAACAGGTAACTGAAGTTGCTTTAAAACAATTTAATTTAATGAGTTATATTTATTGATATTTAAGTGAAAAGCATTAGTTTGATCTTATACCATTGCTTATCTGTTAGTAGTGAAAAGATCTTTTTCCTGAAATAAGATGATTTGATAGGAAAATAACCATAAAATATTTCTCAGTACATTTGTTCTACATGAAATGTGCACTGGTATTATTTTAGTTCCGAATGCTCAAGCTAACATCAGAGCTGTACCAGGCAGCATCCCTGGCACCATTAGGCAGTGATAACAGCAGAGTGCACTCTCCCTCCATGTTCTCCCTGACTCCATCTGTCCACTCAGCCTTCAGCACACCACACCATCTCTCTGGCAGTTCATCAGCACACAGTACTCCTGGTATAGAGGTAAGTTACCACTCAGCATTTAGCACACCACACCATCTCTCTGGCAGTTCATCAGCACACAGAACTCCTGGTATAGAGGTAAGTTACCACTCAGCATTCAGCACACCACACCATCTCTCTGGCAGCTCAACAACACAGATTGAAGATTTTCTGTCTTATGTTAATTTATTGTAATGTGTAATAGAAGCTTTATCTTAAGAAACCTTATCTAAAAATTCTAATTTTTCTTTCAGGAGGATGCGCAGTTGAATGGACAGGCCTCAAGGATTACCGTGGAAGCTTTGGTACATGGAGACAGGAAGGGGTCATCTCTCCAGCAACCACAGACTCACTATGAAATCTATCAGAGTAAAGTGAGACAACAGAATGACTTGGACACCAGATCAGTGGATGTGTGGCAGACTGACGCATTCTTGCAAGGACAGGGTGGCTTTGTTACACCTCCAGCCATGCAAGGGGTATTGACTTTCCAGAAGACCATACACCATAGCAAATCCCTTCCAACTCTTTTCACTTCATCAGATTATGGTTCAGATACATCCGATTATTCGCCACCTTTTGGAATGAAGGATGACAGTAATTGGAGATGGTTTGGCTCTCCTGAACTGGAGACTCCAAAGGCGAACAAGTCAAAAAATGGGGTTACATTTGAGAAAGATCCACATTCTTCAGAAAGGACTCCAGTCAATGCAGCAGACACTGAGGGGATCAAAAGGAGCAAAGACAGCAACAGAAATTTGACAGGCAAGACGGATGATTCAGAACAAGAAAAAGAGTTTGGTTTTCCACCTCTCACACATATTGCCCATTTAAAACCTATAGATAATCAAACTCAGATGACAGCTCATGAAGATGTTCTTTCTTCAGAGAGTTTTGAGCAGAGAGAGCTTGCAGATGCCAGGCCAGAAATGATGCCATACTTTGATCCATACACCGGAAGCTATGTTAGTAGGAGTAGCTTCACTGCAAAGCCCTTAGGGGAAGGCTTGCAATTTATCAGTCTTAGGGGGAAAAGTCAGTCACAAAAACCCAGGATTTTAGCAAGTAAAGTCAACAGTGCTTCAACTGCTCAGAGACCAACATCCAGCAGAAAAAGTAGTAGATCACACATTAAAAGCCCCACTACACAAAAGACCCAGCATGGACTATCAGAAATAACATTAGCCGACCCTGCCTACCACCTCCCCATCTCTGGATCTGTATTTGATGTAGTCACCATGTCCCAGCGCTATGTGACTTTTGCAAAGACTATGTGCGACACCATCTGCCCTTTGCCAGTGTTTGAGGAGCACACCCCACCACCCACACCGCTTGAAGAAAGCATGGGTTCTTCCACAGCCAGTAGCAACCCTCTGGATCCAGAGTTTAGTCTGAGAGCAGCAGCCAAGGAAGCCATGTTAGGAAGAAAACAAGTGTACAATAAATTGTTACAGGTATGTCACTTCCATGGATACATGAATTTGTGTGTGTGTGGGTGCATGTGCATGCGTGTGAACTGATTGCATGTGCAGTTAATAAGAGGTTTTAATTGTTATTTATTTGTAAATAAATTGCATTCTTGTGTGATGATGTATAAAATTGGTCTTGGTTTTGCTTGATTTGTGAGATTAATACAATAAGAAAAATAATGGAAAATCAGATGATTAAAAACTTTTAATGTCAGTTGTTTTACCCCATTTATGTTTTCTTTTCAGTGTGTCTCAAATACAGTTTGTTTGTACGCAGATAACATGATGTCCATGGATCTTTGTGCAGTGTTTGAGAAAGAGGGAATAGATTTAGTTGGTGTTGAGGTAAATTTGAAATTAGATTTTTATTTGGACAGCCTTACTTGTATAAATGGTATTATTGATATTGATATCATGAATGTTTGTAAAATATG